CGCCCTCCTGGCGGCGCAGGGTCGGGGAGGCGCCTCTGTGGGCGGGCAGGGATCTCCGTGCGGGGCCTGGTCCCGAGTGGAGGGGAACGGGGACACCCAAGTGGGACTGGGCCCGGGGGCAGGGACAGCTGTGTGGGGTCATGGCCTGGGTGGGGAGACCTCTGTGTGGGCCCCAGCCGGCACTGCCTTGTCCGACTCTCTGCCAGTTCGCTGCTCTTGAAAGGGCTTTATTTTCTGGTGGCTTTAACTTAAAGCTTGGTATTTCACCTGAGGTTTGCTTCCCTTTACTGTACGCCGGCGTGGGTCTTTGTCCTTCAGGGCTTTACGGAGCGGTGCGTGTGAGGTCTCCAGCTCACACACAGGGCGCTCCACTTGCTCAGTTAGCTATTTTAAGCATTTTATGAGTGTTGACTGAAATTCCAACTGTAAGAATCACTGTTTCAGTTTGTCAGCATGCTGTCCTTGTGTGGCCAAGAAGTGATTTCAAGTTCCCACTTATTGTGTGCTGCCTCTTGTTTGGGTGTTTGTGATACTATCATGGTCAGATCTTCTCAGTGTCTTCAAGTGCTTGTTTGGCTCTGGGTGAGTTTTGCCATATTGTCATGTAGGCAAACTTGACACCCACAAATCCATGGGCCCTGATGGGATGCACCCACGAGTGCTGAGGGAGCTGGCAGATGTTATTGTTAAGCCTTTGAAAGGTCATGGGGAACAGGAGAGGTGCCTGAGGATGGGAAGAAAGCCAGTGTCACTCCAGCCTTCAAAAAGGGCAAGAAGGAGGACTCAGGAAACAACAGGCCAGTCAGTCTCACTTCCATCCCTGGAAAGGTGATGAAACAGCTCATTCTGGATGTCATCTCTAAGCGTGTGGAAGAAAAGAAGGTTATCGGGAGTGGTCAACACGGATTCACCAATCGTGCTTGACCAATCTGATAGCCTTCTATGATGGCATGACTGGCTGGGTAGATGAGGGGAGGGCAGTGGAAGTTGTCTACCTCGACTTCAGCAAGGCTTTTGACATGGTCTCCCATCACATCCTCATAGGTAAGCTTTGGAAGTGTGGGTTAGATGAGTGGACAGTGGGGTGGATTGAGAACTGGCTGACTGGCAAAGCTCAGAGGGTTGTGATCAGTGGCGCAGAGTCTAGCTGGAGGCCTGTAACTAGCGGTGTTCCTTAGGGGTCAGGCCACATCTGGAGTGCTGTGTCCAATTCTGGGCTCCCCAGTTCAAGAAAGACCAGGAACTACTGGAGAGAGTCCAGCAGAGGGCTACAAAGATGATTAGGGGACTAGAGCGTCTCTTACGAGGGGAGGCTGAGAGACCTGGGTCTGTTTAGCCTGGAGAAAAGAAGACTGAGAGGGGATCTTATCAATGCTTAGAAATATCTAAAGGGCGGGTGTCAAGAGGACGGGTCCAGACTGTTTTCAGTGGTGTCCAGTGACAGGACAAGGGGCAATGGGCACAGGCTGCGACACAGGAAGTTCCATCTGAACATGAGGAAAAACTTCTTTACTTTGAGGATGACAGAGCACTGGAATAGGCTGTCCAGAGAGGTTGTGGAGTTGTGTTCTCTGGCAATATTCAAAACGCACCTGGAAGCGATGCTGTGCAATCTGCTGTAGGTGAACCTGCTTTATCAGGGGGGGTTGGACTAGAGGTCCCTTCCAACCCCTACTGTTCTGTGATTCTGTGATATGTGGTTATATCAGAGCATATATTTTGGAAACCATGCTCCTGTGTGCCTGTGTCTCAAAGCAGAAGTGCTGGGTCTTGCTGTACAGCCAGCATTAGTAGCCCTTCTCTTTTTGAGTGCATCTTACTGTAGGTAGTGTTCGTAAGACAGCTAATAAGTGAACCTGCTTGATTCAACAGGATGCAGGTGTGTTCATCCATGTAACAACTGATGCTCAGATATGGGTTTAATTGCCTAATTAAGACTAAATATATGGCAGCTATTTTGCCTGCTGATCTCCCCCCACCTCTCTGTTTCTTTTGCAGAGCCTGGACTTATGGAGGCTGCTCTACTCCCTTCTGAAACAAATCCACAGAGGCAAGTGGACCGAGTCTGATGCCATAGGTAACCTAGTCAGTCTGCCTGACTGTGTGATTTCTGTCTGTCCCGGGGAAATACTGGGACTAGTTTTGTAGCATTTTTTTTTTTGACTTCTTGCACCCTGTCAGGAGTGCTCCATTTGGAATACCTTTGCCACCAACTTACTGTTGCATCACAGCTGTGCAGGCAGGTTTACTCCTCTTTGACTTGCTTTGTCCAGGAAACTGGGATGTTCTTGCATCTGCTAGGGGCTCTTGCTTCCCTTTGACATTTTACTGCAGCTACATCTCTGCAATGATCTTACGTGTTCTCAGTATTTGCAGAGATTACAGAAATGGATTTGTTTTTCCTTTGATTCCTTCTTTCCCCATTCCACATATGATGCATGATTCTGTGGTTAATTTTCTATCAAGTCCTATGTCAGGGCTTATGAACCATAAAGTTTTGGATTGAAGTTCTAGACAAAACAAAAACTGTGTGTGAATATCTGTATGGACAGGGCTACTCTTCCAGAGAGAAGCTGAATGCGTGTTGGCTTCTCACAATGACAGAGCATTATTTACTCTTAAATGTATGTTATTCTGAGTACAATACAACTCTTTAGACTTCTCTCTTGAAAGATGTCTATCTAGAGCCCTTTCTTTGTCAGAGGAAGTTTTGAGAATGGGATTGTCTGTGATGGATAGAGGTCTCCTCAGACCAAAACCACTTAAAATCCACTTTTGCCCTTGAAAATAAAAAAACGAAGCAACATTGTTTTCGCCCCTGAAGAGCTGGGAATCTGATGGCTCTGTAAACAGAGTTAAAAATGGCTAAGCGTTGTGGATGATATCTCTCAAGGAGGGTGGAGCAATACCAGCATACTTTTGCTGGTACAGCATGGTTCTGTGTTACTCACAGGACTGCTATTTTTCGTTCGGCTGTTTTTGCTTTTCTACTCATCCACAATCTGCTGTGTATGGTAACTCAATTTATTGGCTGTGTCCTACAGCTGCTTTGAGGTGGTCCTGCACAAGTGCTGCCTCATTGAATCCTGGCGGCTCCCACGCTAACAGCTTGTAGCATTTGGAGACAGGATTTCTGTGTGCACATGGCAGGTTACTGGCTCTAGAGAGAGCAAACCCAGCCTCTGCTGGTAGATTGCAAGATAGGAATGTGTGGTTCTGCTCAAAACTGCTGAGCTGCTTTTTAAGAAACTTGTTTAGTCTCAATGCAGTGCTTAAAGCTGAAACTCAGGTTGGATAGCCGTTCAGTTTTTCAGATTACACTGATTATCTTTGCTTGGCCAAGTGAATGAGTTGTCCGCTGTGAAATGTGATCGATATTTTACTGTCTTTCTTCCCTGTCCGTGCTCCGCATCACTTACGTTTTTTCATGTATTTATTTCATGGAAATGAAGCAGAAGCCTTGGGCATAGGGACTAAATAACTCTCAGGTTTGCACAGGATCCTGTAGCACCACAAAGAATTGAAACGAATTCCTCTAATCCATGTCTACTGCTTTAGTCCATGGATCGGGCGTTCCTTTCTTTGCTGTTTTTCTACAGCCTCTAAATTATCTTGGCTAAACAAGGAGAGCAGCAGTTGCCAGATCCAAGAGGAAGGCTGTGAAGACTCCTTCAGTACGAGGGTTACTGTGTGTATAGGCAGAGGAACAGCTGTCTGGCAAAGAGAACCTGTACTCAGACGGTCTTGTACCCTTCCTTTTTTTTTTTTAGGCTAAAAGTTCTTCCAAAGGAAACACTGAGCTTTGGCCTGTAGTGTGCGTGTGGTGTTGGGGTCACAGTGGTTCTTCTCACTACTCTGTCGAGCAAGACCTATATTTCAAGGACTGCATTCCAGATGTTGGGCCATTTGCAGTTGTGAGGTGCTAGAAAGCAGTGCGTTGCAAGGACAGAATGCTCTTACAGATTTTGCCCATGGAAAAGGACAGATTTTTCCAGAAAGCTTTTCCTTCATCGAGGAAGTTCTTTTTATCAAGTGATTTTCAAAGTTGCCACCGCAGTGTGTGTTTCTGTTTCAAGTTAGTAGTTTTCATTAGTCAGTTTTTGATTTGATCTTGTCATATAGGTGAATTTTAGATGACATTAAATCTGCTTTGAATAGAACAGCTACTGTCTTTCCCTTGTTATGGTTGTGATATTGTTTAGAAAAACTTTCTGCATCATGTTTTTAAATGCTTGATATATTTTATTGCCTAGCTAGCAGAAAATAAAATGTTTGAAAAATCACATATAAAAAAATCCACACAATTTGATATTTTAAAATGTAGGAACTACTGTGTTCTTGCAAAAAAAAAAAAACCCCAACAAAAAAAAAAAACACAAAAAACCCCCAACCCTAGAAACACCACTGAAGCGTGCCAGTCAGTGGTTATAAAATTCTGCAAATGTTTCTTTTGGTTTCTCATTTTGGAAGAATTTTTTCCTCATGCTGTAAAAAAACAGTTCCTGTAAACTTTGGTGGGAAGCCATTAATACACTCCAGCCCCTTAAACATGTCAGAACAACGGGTCTCTCGTCAGTGGAGTACGAGTCAAAGTAAGCTGTGTAATAGTACTCTGGGCATAACCTTTCTGATGAAGTCATGATTAGTGGTTTCATGCTGCACTTTCTTCACAGAGGCTGAGAGCTGATAGACTTGGTTAACAACCTAACAACCACACGAGGTAGCAGTGCAACATGCATTTAGATAGTTGGAGGAAATGTTTCTTTTCTGGAGTCGCAATTCATTTTTTTTATAGTATGGGAAAGAGGACTGGAGCTGCGATATATTTTTATTTGTTTGACAAATGAAGCAGAAAATGTTCTTCTGCAGCAGTAGTTTCCCGTAACACCGCTACCTATGCAGGTGTTTCTTGCCTGAGTGCGTGAAGTAATGTATCTGTGTCTGTTCTTGTACTTGATTTAGCTCCTTTCCACCTTAGCCTGCCAGGCTAATGCATAACCCTTATTTGAATATCATGTTGTAATTCACTGAAAGTATCCTGCAGGATTCATAAAGCAGAAGAGCACAGCTTGAGTATAGTTTTAAGAGAGCTGAACCCTGAGGTTCATCCGCAGCTCGATCTTACGTGCTGAACGTACATAAATAATGTGCATGCAGAAGGGAATTAGTTGGAAGGACTGTGTAAGTCTTTCTCTGTGAATTGCCTAATCCTAATGAAATGCCATAAGAAGGTGTTCTCACGGAGAAGGTGTTTTGAGTGACTGGTGTTATCTGGTATCTGAGTGATGGTTTTTCCTCTCTCTCAGCTGCACGTTGTGGAGAAGTCCATCTTGGTCTTGGGTACTTAACAGCCTCTACTGCTGTTTATCTGAGCGCTGTTTCCTTGTAAGCAGAGCACTGTAGAGATGAAGAAAACCATGGAAAGGCTCTCTGAGCCCCAGTTCCAGATCCGTGCTTTGACCGTTCACCCACAATGCCTGCGTGATACACCAATCGTACCCTCTCATGTGAGGGCAATGTGTTGCAGAGGGAGTGATAAAACAGGGGGAGATAAAGGGCCAGAGCAACACAGAAATTCAGGTGATGAAGTGCCTTGGTGGCTCTGGTCCTGAGTGGTATTTCAGAGAAGGAAGATGGTGATAAAGGAAAAAAACAACCTGGCTTGCTCTCTATTCCTTCTCTTTGATATGTGATTTCTTGGGGAGCTGCCTGAACTGCAGATGGCAGCATGTGATGCTTGTTTGCTTTGAAAAAGGAGGAAAGTACGTACTGATCTTCCTTTCTTTTGGAGTATTTCTGCCTTTACCTGTTCCTTTCTTGCCAAATGCACAAAGAAAAGGAAAGGGCAACATATAGACCTAGCTTATGTGAGAATGTTCAAGAGTGATCAAAATAAAATCTGTAATATCTGAGTGCTCCCCCTGTGCATGAGGGGTTGGAGCGCGTATCCGCAGCAAGATTTTTAGCAAACCATAGGTGTTTCTGCCACCCTAGCATGGTGAAGGGAAGCTGCTTGTTTTTACGTTCACAGGTTCTGCAAAAAGAGCAGATGGAGTGATTTAGGTGTTTGTGTTTCCTTTTTGTGTCTGTAATGCAGAAACAAGCTAGGTTTAAAACCAATTGTCCAACTGTCATGTGTCTCTGCAGAAGCTTTGCTACGCAAACCACTAGTCCTGCAAAAAATTAGTAGCTTTGCACCATCATGTCACCTGCTTAATCATGCTCCTGATCTTGTTTTTTGTTATTCAGTCATGGTTAATGTCTTTGTCAGGAATTCATTTGTAGCTGTCAGGTGGCCAATCATGTATTCCTGCTCCCGCTGCTAAAGATGAGTAGTAATCTCTATAACAGTTTCAGCTCTGTATTTGGATTGAGGAGCACTCTGGAAGTATGCGTATCTCCTTAGGGATCTGCAGTCTTGTTTCCCTAAATCCTAAAGTGGGTCAAAGAGTGCAAACAATATAGTTTCCTCTGGCTTGTGAAGGTGCAAAGGGCTTGGTGGCTCTTTAGGACTACCATCTCCTTCCAGCCTCAGCAGAGCTGTAGCAATGTACTGCTCCTATAGGGTTACGAGCACAGGTCAGCTTATAGCTCCTCTGTGTGTCTTGGCTTTGTATTACTTTTGGTGGATAAGACTCCTTTAGCATTTTGCAAATCAAGTGAAATCAACCCCTCTTCACTGTGAGAGTCTCTTGTAATTAACAAATTCCTTTTGAGAGCAACAGGATTTTTCTCTTTTTTTTTTTTGTTTTGAAGTTGGTCATTATGTGGTTTTTGAGCTGCAGCAGTCGATGCCAGACAAAGAAAGATTCGATATGTATCAATGCTAAGGGATGTTTTTACCATAAGTGGCAAGGAGGAGGCAAATGAGTATGTAATGTGATGAATTGGTATGTTGATTAAGGACAGCAGTGACAATTCCTGATTGTACGAGGTTTGTACTTCCTGTTATTTTTGTGTGTGTGAGCGTTTACCTGTTTTATGAAACTCTAGAGAGATACTGAAGCATTACACTGGAAAAGGGGAACGGTTTTCTTCCTTATTTTGTAAGAATGCCTAAACTGGATCAAACTGAAGGTTTGTCTAGCTCCATCCAGCTGTGGCAGCTGTCAAAATGGATGCCCAGGGGAAAAGAAAGAGCAAATATAGAAGGATGCTTTCAGGGGGGTATTCTTTCAGCCTCCAGTAATTTACATCTTGGACTTCCCAAACCAGAGAGGATATCTTTGTACTTCATAAGCTTCCATGAACTCTTCTGTAAGTCCGGTTCCTCCTTGAGCCTGTGTAGCTCCCAGTGTCCATAGTGTCCCGTGGCCAGAAATTACAGAGCTTTGCTGTATGTCTGAAGAACATCTCCTTAACTTGTTTTGACTCACATGCTTGCTAACTTTGGTGGCTCATATTTCTTGTATTGAATGTCGTGCAAACAAATTATTCCCTGTTCACCCATTCCACAGCACTCATGGCTTTAAGCAGTTTTGTCATATCCATTCTCAGTCATCTTGGACTACGTCATCAGTTCTTACAATGAAACTGTTCTGTACTTGTGATCATACTTGTCCTTTCTCTTTGTTTTTCTCCAAGTGTTCCATAGCCTTTTTGGGACTGAAGAAATAAAATAACACTTTGAATTTGAGATGTGGAATCACAGTGCATATAGACAACAATATAATTTTGTTCCCTGTGTTCTGTTTAGTTTCCTTTCTAGGTTTCTCACATTCAGTTTGCTTTTGGATGCATATGAGAACAAAGTGTGATATTGTCATGAAAAGTCTTATCATCTAAGATTGTGTTCCTGAATCCAGTGGTCAGCTCCAAGCCCATTGCTATGTCAGTAAAGTTAGGATTTCTTCCCTTGTGTGCATCATTTTTCATTTTTTCTAAAAAGAATTTTAAAACTTAGGCTCCTTAGGTTCTGCAGTCCTTCACAATCTGCCTGCGTTCCTTACTACTGAGTAATCTCACATCAGCACCAAATTTTCTGTCACTATCACGTTGTCAGTGTGTCATTTTGAGCTGGTTGGACAGCAAGTGCTTAGCACAGAGCCCTCATGTGAAACCACCATTTGTTCCCACCCTCTGGTTCTTGTCTGCTAGGCACTTGTCATTGATTCAAGGGCCTTCCCTCTCCCTCCACCACAGTGGCTTAGTTTCTTTGAGCTAGTTGAATCCCACTGGGAAATCTAAATGATCTGCATTGGTTGAATCTTCCTTAATCACTTGCCTGTTGTTGCCTGTAGAGAACTCCAGTAGCTTTTTGAGCAGGACTTCCTTTTAAAACAACTGTTGGTTCTTCCCCAGAATGTACTGTTTGTCATTGTGCCCCCTAATTACACTCTTTATTACAGTTTTGACTTAGTACAGAGCTGAGGCTTACTGGTTAGAAGCTTTTTAAATAATAATTTTCTCTGTGTTCCCTCAGTATTTTACAGTTTTTGTAGTGCCTGTCTTGTAGCTGTCAGGTAACATTTGCTGGTGTGAAGGAATATGGATCAGAGCATTCCTGAGAATTAAATAGTCCGTGTGGTCTGGTATGCAGCGTGGTGTGCTGCATTATCTCTGCCTCCTCACTGGTGCTCAGAGATTTGCAGCAGGCTGTGAAACTCCTATCTCTAAATTCCAGTTTAATTCAGGAGTAAAGTTACTCAGTGTTTACTAATTCACGGCATGCTTGGTGGCTCATAAAAAATGAATTGGTCAATTGGAGTCCTCTTATAGTGGGAATGGCTATTTACCTTTTTGCCATTGTTAATCTCCCAGAGGCCATTACTGGCCTTGAGATCAACTTTGAATTTCTTCTTTTTTCCTTCAGCAGTAGTTCCTGTAGATCAGAGTGGGGCATCATAAGGAAGGCTTTTAACTCCTGTGCTTTACCAGTTGTTGATAAAAGACTGTAGCCTCCACTGTCCTCTGCTAATCTTAGGCTTCATTAAAAATTTTGCTCTCGGAGGAGGCTGCAGTTTCTGGAACTGAATGGGTAAATGCATTGAGTAGTGCAGTGTGTTATTCCTAATTGTTTTCTTCTTTTCAGATAACCAAATTAGGTTTGTAAAATCAGCGTTGTGGTACCATGGCTATGGCAGGCTAGAACTCTATCGGCTCCCCTCTGACGGCTCAGCGGGTAGTCGGGAGCTGCTGCTGGCATTTTCCTGGCTGCTGCACAGAATCAGCCTCTTGGAGCAGCTTTTGGCTCGGAACAGAGTAAAGACTGGGGATGAAACCTCTGTGTGCACGGTGAGCATGTCTGTGTCCTTGAACCTTATCTGTCCACAAGTGATGTTCAGTGACAGCACCTGTGTCACGGCTAGTGTGTGGTATCTTGCTATCTTTATGAATAAATGCCTTACTCCAGCTTTAAAAAAACTTAAAAGGATCCAGCATCTGGAACCTGTTTTCTTTGCCTTCTCTAAACTTTCTGTGTGCAGGTGATCTGGGTTCCTTCTCTTTCTCAGACTCCCACCCATGCCTGAATTCCCTGCTTTTTTCCAGTGTAGGTGAGACCAGTGTGGAGGATTGCAAGTAAGGGAATTTGATCTCTGTGCTTCTGAGAGGTGCTACAGTGTAGGCAAACAGGTTTTCTGTGAATGCTGGGTGTGCTGACATTGCGTAGAGCAAGTAATGCTAAAGCAAATAGCACTTTTTAAAAACATCAAGATCTCAAATGGCAGCTACTTCTCTTGGGGTAATTAATGACCTCGTAGCCTCCTTGAGAGCACAGTGGGGTACAACAACGTTGTTGTTTTCATCAGTAAAAAGATGTTAGCACATAGGAAGCCTGCTGTGAAGTAAGCTAAGGATAGCTGTATGTCTGCTTTAGCTGCAATATATATAGGTGATCAACAGAAAAAAAAAAAAAGGCAAAAAACCTCACAAAACTACAGCCTAATAATGTTTGGTAATACTGCTTTTAAAATCCATTCCTTGAATTTCAGACCGCATGCACACATATAGACAATTGCTCTGGAAAATAGAGTGAGAAGCTCAGAAGGTCAGAAACCCAACCTGCTGATATCTTGTGATGTCTAAGACCTTGTCTTCACGGTCATGTATATGTGCTCCCCTAGACTGTAGGCTGCCTGGTTTTCTAGAAACTTTCTAGGGGACAGCAAAGCAAGACTTTGGAAAGCTTCGATATAGATATAGCGTCTTTGGAAGGAAAACACTTGTACAAATGGAAAACAGCTCAAAAGGAAGAGTCACTTTTGTAACAACATTATTAACAGTATTTTGAGAAAATGGACCACTTCCTACACTGCAGTTGTTTGCTGCACAGAATGCAAAGCACAAGAGGCTGTGCTTTGTGCGCTGTGTGTGCGTGGTGGTGCCCTCCAGTGATGTGAAGGCTGCCTTGAGACTTTAGGAAAAACACACTTCTGGAGAACTTTTTACTTTGGACTTCTCTTTCTTGTTTTTTTTTTTTCTTGTGTGGTAGCAGATTATTTTTTGTGTCCTTAATTTCTATTACAAAAGAGTGGTAAGTGAAGTGTAGCAGCGACATGAATTCAGGAAATGGGGCAGCGCCTATGTTATTTTCTCTGAAGGTCTTAAGTTTTGCATTTTCCAAAAAGAGATAAAAGAACGATGGTAATACAGTGTTATCTCTTATGTCCACACAGAGGCACGCTAAGAAATCTATTGCTGTGCCTTTCACTGCAATTCTAACCCGCTCTACCTGTGTTTCTGAAAAAGCATGGAATACATATTTCATGTTTTTATCCAATAACTGTCCCAAACAGTGTTTGGTAAGGTTTGCGAGTCTGGAATTTTTTTTTTTTTCAATAGGCCAGACAAATTTTATAGACTGGGAGTTGGAGTTAGCATATGAATGTAAAGCTCATTGTATTAACAGCAGTGTTTCTTGTTTGGTGTTCATCTAGCACGTTGTCATACTCCAATATAAATAATGTCCATGGGAAAAAATGATAGAATGTAGTTACAGCAGAGAATGTGTAAATAGTGTGTTTTGTGATCTGCATCACAAGAAAGTTAAACAGAATTGTGAGGGACAGGTCTTATCTTTTATTTGATCAACTAGGCATTACAAAACCAATAAAGTCAACCAGTAAGACGCAACCAAATTAAGATTTATGAATGCACAGTTAAGGAAGTAAGGAGGTAATGGTGAGCGTGAAGGAGAAGGTAGGTGGGTCGCACACCTCATTTTGATTAAGTCATCAACTCCTTGTAAATCACTCATGAAAGCCTGTTGTTTGCTGCATAAAAGTGTGATAGTTTTCTTATGCATTGTTATTTGATAACTGTGTTGTTATTTTATGGGTTACCTTCATGTGGCAAAGTCTACTCGTCAGTCAGACAGCATTCAACAATATAGTCCCTAAAATCATAGGAAGAAAGGAAGAAGGCGAGGGTGTTAGTTTGATACCTGACATCTTGTGAGTTTAAAGTACAACTTGAACAATTGAAGTGGTAGAATTTCGACTCTGGGAATGTTAAATACCAGGCATTTGTGATACTTAAGCTGAAGTGTTGGAAGATGTGTAACAAGTTGTAAAGGCGTTGCTAAACATGCCAGAGATGTAACATGCCAGTCGTAATTCTATTTAAGTAAATTGAAGGAAAAAAGGTAAAAAAAAAAAGAAAAAAGCTTCTCTAAAGAAAGATCTGTCTCGAAAAAAGAAGAAAGAAAATGAAGTGCTCTTTAAAACAACTGAAATTCTCAGCTGAGAAAGAGCTTAAAATCTTCCACCGCATGGAGTCATTTTTTAAAAAAATGATTATAAACAGTTGAAAATATTTTTCTGAAATGAAAATGTTGCAAAACAAAAATCCATGAAATAGTGTTTGGTTTGGTGCATTGCTGAGATCTCTGCCAAAATCAGCAAAGCATGAAAGCCAGCACTTACTGGCAAAGCACATCTGATGGTCTACTGGTGTGACTAAATGTGAAGAAAATCCTTATCCTTTGTCTTCATCTAAAAAAATGGAGCCTCAAGAACTGTAGGCATAGCTGCAGTTCAAACATATTCATGTGATTTGCTTTTAAAACTTTGACTGAAAAGTGGACATGATCTGTTCTATGAAGAAGAGAGAAAGCAGCTAATCCCTAAATTAAGCGTGCAATTGTGTTCTGACTATTCTTTCAGCCCAAGTTTGAAACAAAACCTAGAGCCTGCTGAATTGCTGATAATATGCCAAATACCCAACATATCAAGGGCCAATTAAATTAATTCCTTTCATTTCATTTCAGATTACCACTCTCTGGCCTTTTCTTCTTTGCAGTTCCTTAGCAACACAGTTTTCTTCCCCGGCAAATTGAACACTTCCATCAGCTCTAAAGGATTTCAGGCTGGTTATTTATAGAGGTACAAGGGTATTCGTGACACATGATGGACATGGAGCTCAGCCGCTGCAAGGAATTCATAATCTTAAGATCCTGAGCCGGGGAAGGCTTCCACAAGCTTAATTTAACATGCCCTTACATCTTCAGAATCAAAAGTTAGGTGATTCCTAAAATTTTAAACCAAACAGTGGTGAAAGCATGGTGAAAGGGTGTTAAGGTGGTAGGAGGTAGTGCTTAATGTGGCTAACGTAGTTAAAAAATAATCTTGAGGTAGTTGTTGGTAAGGTCGGGTATGGTTAGTAGGCTGGGATGGTGATATGGGTTGTCTGCTTTTGTGTTAGGTAAGAAAATTCTTCAGGGCACCTTGTCTTGTGTGGCCTCCAGCTTACTTTTTTGGAAGGGCAATGCTGCAGTCTCTCCAGAGCCAGGGCACTGCCTGCCTGCTACTGGATGCCCCAACGAGCGGGACTGAAGGAGCCACTACCCTCCCTAGCCTTCCACCCGTGGCTCTCTTCCAGTATATGGAGTTTATCAACTGAGGGGAAGTGACAGTTAAAAGAGCTCACTGGAGTCTGTGTTGCTGAGCAGGAGAAACAGGAGAGGAAAGAAGGGATCGATGGCGAATGTCACATTCTAGTACCTGGCTGCTGTAGTCCCAGTCCAATCTGTGAATTTAGTGTGCTGATCTGTCAGGAGGTTGGTGACTCCAGAGGCAGTAAGGGAAAGTTCAAACCTTGCATTGGATAACACTTAAAAAAAAAAAAAAAAAAAAGGAATCACTAATTCTATTACATCCATAAAGACTTAAGTACAATCTGAATTGGAGGTTCACATCGATTTACAGAAGCATCTACTTGGGAATTCTTGCCTGTTGTTATTGCCTTAAAGCACTGGGCGATTAATTGATGGACGTTGTCTTCAAAGGCTTTTTACACCCCTTGTGGATTTCTGTCTCCAATATGTACTGCTGTGTTGTCCCTTTTAACATCCTTTCTTGCTTTGGTGATCGTGTACATGCAGATTATTCTCAAGTGCCATTCATTGATTCCTATTTACACATAAAAATCCTAGACTACAAAACACATTTGTAGGTGAAACACTGTCATTCACTGAACATGTAAGGCAGACCTGGGGAGTTCTCATATTTTCTCTGTCTCTGAGAAGCAGATAATTGTTTGATATAAACCTGCCTTTTTAGCACATTCAGTATTTGACTTATGTTTTTTTTTTTTGCCTTGCTTTTTAAATTTTAGTGATATCATCTCAGCTTTCTCCAAATCTATGATGGTTTGTTCAGATAATAGCAGTACTCTGTGAGCATGTATTCTTTCTCTGTCCAGGGAGGCATACTGCCTGTACTGGTATTATTTCTACAGCTGAAATTAATCTATCTGTGCCCCATAATTTAATTATGTGTGGAGGCTGTTGAGTTTTTTAGATGATGGTAGTGATGTTATATCCCTCATTATCACCAGGATATGTTGTACAAACACTGGTTCTTGGTTCCACTAATTCTCTCTGCCTGCTTCTTGCCCTCTGAGTGAAATTGGATGCCCCTCCCCTTTTGGGAATTTATAGTAATCAACAAATAGAGCTATTATGGCTATTATAGTTGGAATTCATGCGTGTCTGTCTAGCATGCCAAAGTGAACTCAGTTTAATTACTTCTGGTGGGGAAAAATGAAACTAAACATGCCTTCTGACTCTTAGGTTTGCAATTTGATTAATCTTTTGTTTGTCACGGTCTAGCTTGGCTCACTGGCTATTTCCAATATAGTGTAAGGCTTATGCTTGGTCTAATCGTGTTGTTGAACTGCCTTTCTCTTATAGAAATCTTGACCATCACTGCTGTTCCATAAACCATGTTATTAGAGGAAAGCGTTAACGTAGCAGCTAAGCTTGATGTTCCCCTCAGCAGGATTTTTTTTTTTGG